GTGACCAAATAAGAAGACCAATCTTAAGAAATTCATGAGGCAATGGAGAATACGAATATCCAGCAAGATTGTAAAAACAGAGGTATTGAATCCCCAATATTGTGTTTGAATATCTGATATCCTAAGCATTGAAACTGAGCATGTTGTTGAGTATATGAACATGAACTGAGCCTAGAAACTGTGCATGTTGTTGAATATATGAGGCCTTGAATGTGTTGTTGCTTCCACCAAGAGATATATCCAGTAGCCTTGACATATATAATATTTATTGTCCATTATGTTGACTTTATAAAACGCTTCCTTAAATTGCGTATATTTTTGGATTCCTGTTGCATCAGCATTGGTATATCTTTAGTGGAATCATAGATAAACGACCCCTATCAATGACCCTTTTATTTCCCAATGAATCAACAACCATATTCCCCTCACGATAAGTATGTAGAATGTCTAATGTAAGGCCCTGTAAAATAGAATGAATTTGGTCAAAGTGAAATTCTTGGTTTCATTATGTTATATATAGCTTTGTAGTTTAGAAAGATGAATAAGAGGATTAGAGATTGTATAATCACCATTGACATAGAATCATGGGTTTTGGTATGTTCTAACCTTAGACTACTCCTTCTTGTTAACAAAAGAATTTCAAGTACAAGTCAAATTTAGCAGTATTTGAAACTGAGAATCTGTTTCAATAAAAATGTGATTAAATCTTCATACAAGGTTCACAGACTAAAGGGATCTTAAGATATGGAAGAAGATCCAGACCAGTAGGAGTATCCACAAATTCTTCAAATCATAATGCAATAAAATTTAATTCTTCAACTTAGCATTCAATCACATCCAATTAATATTCAATTCATAAAATTAACACGGAATTAACATTCAATTCATCGAAATTATATTCAAATTCATTAAATTAACACTCAATTTAGCAAATTACATCGAAAATCGTCAATAAAGGTTTAATTTTACAAATCAACATCAAACTAACATATAATTTCATTCAATAAACATTTAATTCATCAAAACAATACCAAATTAGTATTCAATTCATCAAATTTATACCAAATAAACATTCAATTCATCATATTAACATCAAATTAAAATTCAGTTCATCCATTTAATATTTAATTCATTAAATTAACATTTAATTCATCAAATTAAAATAAAAAATTATCTAATAAAGATTTAATTCATCAAATTAACACCAAATTAATATTCAATTCAACAAATTAACAATTTCATCTAATAACATTTAATATTCAATTCATCAAATTTAAACCAAATAAACATTCAATTTCATCAAATAAATTTTTTAGATAGGGGTTGCAAATTTTTTGAATTGAGTTATAACTATTTAGGATGAGTTCTAACGGTTGGGGAAGGGTTCCAACTTTTACGGTGAGATTTTAACTATTTTCGATAGGGTTATAATTTTGGGGGATAGAGTTTTAACTTTTCAATTTTTTTGAATTGAATTATAACCTTTTAGGTGGTTTCGAGGGAGGGGTTCCAAATTTTTGGGTAAGGGTTCCAACTTTTTTGGTAGGGGTTTCAATTGTTTTTGGGTGGTTCCAATTTTTTTGGGTAGAGGTTCCAAGTTTTTTGGGTACGAGTTCCAACCTTTTTTCTTTTATAGAGGTTACAACTCTTGAGGAAAGGTTACAACTTTTTTTGTGAGATCCTGGTATCCCACATCGGTTACGGAGGGGAAAGTTGCTGGGCTTATATGTAAGCCCCTCTCTCACCTTACATGGTATGAGGCATTTTCCCAGGTGTACTAGGAGGAACAAAACTATGAGGGCCAGTGGGCCCAAAGTGGACAATATTATGTCATGTGGAGGGGGGTGTTACAAAATGGTATCAGAGCCGACTCTCACTTGGATCGAGTGTGGGCCCCTGACGTGCTCGCGTGTAGTGGGCGGGCAGGTAGCTGACGAGCTGCTGCATGGGGACGTGCGGCCCTGAGGGGGGTGGATTATGAGATCCTGATGTCCCACATCGGTTAGAGAGGGAAAAGTTGCTGGGCTTATATGTAAGCCCCTCGCCTTACATGGTATGAGGCCTTTTCCTAGGGGTACTGGGATGAACAAAACCGTGAGGGCCAATAGGCCCAAAGCGGACAATATTATGTCATGTGGAGGGGGGTGTTACATTTTTTGAGGTTCCAACTCTTGGTAGCGGTTTCAGCTTTTTGGCGTTTCAATTTTTTGAATTGAATTATAACTTTTTAGGTGGGTTATAACTGTTGGGGAAGGGGTTCCAAATTTTTCCATAGGGTTTCAATTTTTTTGGTAGGGATTCCAACTCTTGGGTGGGTTCTAACTTTTTTGCGTAGGTTCCAACTTCTTTGGTAGGGGTTTCAACTTTTTTGGGTATAGGTTCCAATTTTTTTGGGTAAGAATTCTAATTTTTTTGGGTAAATATTACAACGTTTGAGGGAAGATTTTCAACTTTTTTGGAGGTTCCAACCCAAGGTGTCAACTTTTTGTCTAAGGTTTCAATTTTTTGAATTGAATTATAACTTTTGGGTGGTTTCTGACTGTGGGGGAAGGGTTACATTTTTGGTAGGGTAACATTTTTGGGTGTGTTCCAATTTTTTGGGTGTGTTCCAACTTTTTTAAGTTCCAACTTTTTGGGAGTTCCAATTATTGGCGTAGAGGTTTCAACTTTTTAGCAGAGTTTCAATTTTTTTGAATTGAATTATAATCTTTTGTGGGTTTTAACTGTTGGAGGAGGGTTCTAACGTTTTCGGTAGGGTTCAAACTTTTTTGCTAGGTTCCAACTTTTTTTGGGGTAAGTTCCAAAAAAATAGGTAAGGGTTCCAACTTTTTTTGTAGAGGTTTCAATTCATTAAAATTAAAATCACATTTAAATTAATTGTTTAACATTCAATTCATCAAATTAATACTAAATTAACATTCAATTCTTCGAATCAACGATAAACTAACATTCAACTCATTAAATTAACCCCAAATTAATATTCCATTCATTTAATTCGCATTCAATCCTATCTAATAAACATTTAATTCATCAAATTAACGTAACATTCAATTCCATCTAATAAAATTTTAATTTTTCAAATTAAGACTAAAGTAACATTCAATTTACCCAATATATATTCAAATTCATCCAATTTACACTCAATTCATCAAATTAACATCCAAAATCATCTAATAAAAATTAAATTTATCAAACCAACACCAATGTAATATAAAAATTCACTCAATAAATATTTAATTCATCAAATCAGCACCAAATTAACATTTCATATAATAAACATTCAATTCAATAAATTAACATTTAAATTAACTATTTAAAATTAAATTCATCAAATTAAGATTCAATTTCATCCAATTAATATTCAATTCATCAAATTAACACCAAATTAATATTCAATTCTTTAAATTAATACTAAATTAACTTTCAATTCATCAAATTAGCACAACATTAATATTCAATTCATCAAATTCACATTCACTTCCATCTAGTAAATAATAAATTCATCAAATTAACTTAACATTCAATTTCATCAAATAAATATTCAATTCATCAAATTAATACTAAACTAACATCAATTCATCCAATTTATATTCAAAATCATTCAATTAACATTCAATTCATCAAATTAACATCCAAAATCATCTAATAAAATTCAATTTATCAAACCAAGACCAATTTAATATAAAAATGTATTGAATAAATATTTAATTCACCAAATCAACACCAAATAACATCAAATTAGCATTCAATTCATCAAATCAAAACCAAATTAACATTCAATTCACCAAACTAACACCGGATTAATATAAGTTGTATGAATTGAATATATATATTTGGTATTGATTTCATCAATTGGTGTTAATTTGACAAATACATAGGTATGGGATGAATTTAATGTTAATAGTTGTATGTAAATGTTAATTTTATTAATTGAATGTTTATTAGATGAAATGTAATGTTAATTTTATTTGATTAATTTTCATATTACTTTGGTTGATTTGATAAATTTAATTTTTATTGAATTATTTTGGATATTAATTTTGATAAATTGAGTGTTAATTAGATGAATTGAATGTCGATTTAGTGTTAATTTGATGAATTGAATATTTATTTGGATGAATTAAATGTTAATTTGGTATTAATTTGATGAATTAAATATTAATTTGATGAAATTGGATGTTAATTTAATCAATTGATTGTTAGTTTATAGTATTTTGGGTTGGGATAGGAAAAAATAAAAATATTGATATAGTTTAGGGGTGTAAGTGTAATTTAAATTAAGACCAGTCCTGGGAATGGTGGATTGATCCTGATATCATATTACACTTTATCCCTTTCGTATTACACTTTTGACATTTTTATCCTTTATCCCCTTCATATTATACTTTTGGCCTACTCAAGAAGAAGTAGATCGTCCATTCCATACATAGGAGGAGTTGCGTGTCTCAGGCATATTAGGAAGGAAAGGACCTGTGAGTGTGTCTCAACTAGACCATTCCACCATTCACACCTGAAGCCAAATCGACTCAAGCATTGAACCTTACCTTTGATCGATTTCAAGAAGAACAAGTGAGCGAACCCTAACTCCAAAACCTTAACCCTAACTCCAAATAGCCTCCAAAACGCCTTTGATTTCAAGCATTCAAAATCCCTTTGTTTCAAGAAGAACAAGGGATTGATTTAAAGAAGAACAAGTGATCGATTTCAAACATTCGAAATTCATTTGATTTAAAAAAGAACAAGTTTCAAGAAGAACAAGTTAGCCAATCGATCTTTACCAAACCCTAACTCGAAAACGCTTGAAATCTCACTACAAGTAAGTATTCTATAACATATGAATGTGTGTGGTCAGCGTGTGTATGCGACGAGTCTTATGTGTATGTGTGTGAGGATGTCAACTGTTCCATATTTATTTTCTATAGATTAATTATGTTTGATTAGGTATGTACCTATTTTCTGGTAATGTAACAGAACAACATTTGAGCTCAACAATAATTTTAATGGAAATAAAGAAGAAGAGGAAGGCTGAGGGAAAGTATTGGCCAAAAGTGGATATAGGTGGAATTGGGCAAATAAAGAGTAAACAGGTTGGTGATCACTCTAATTTTCCAAAACCTCCAATTGTGGTCGATTCCTCCAGTTGTCCAAAGCCAGTTCATCCATCTCATCCAAAACAAAATAAAAATGTTGATCATTCCTCCTCTCTTCCAAATTTGGTAAGTTCATCAAACCTAAATTTGGTAAGTTCATCCAACCCAAATATGGTAACTTCATCCATTCTGGTAAATACTTTCTTCAACAGAATTTTCTTCAACAGAATTAGTGAAGAGGTTTATCATAATAGGTTTTGTAATAGGCCTGTGTTACTAGAACGTGGTGCCCAGTTAGATAAGATGACAACTATAGACTGTGCTCTTATTTTTGGTTTGCGACAATGGAATTCTATAGTTGAAATAGATAAGAACGATAAAGCTTATGATGGATTAGTGAAAATATTTTATGCAAATATGCTTGATGTTGAGAAGGAAGATTTGAAGTTTAAATCTTATATGAGGAATGTACATTTTGAAGTGAATCGGAATTTGATTTCAAGGATATTGAAGGTTCCCTCACCCTTTATTGTTGAAAATATTGTGACATACCCATACAAGAATCCCAATGATCAACCTACCATCGAGGATGTTGCAACAGAACTTTATGGTAGACCTTTTAAGCTGAACATAGACACATTTTATCAAAGATATCTCACTAACAATTATAGGATTTTAAACCGTATAGTGGGATGTAATATTAATTCGAGAGGACACAGTGCTAATTTTGGAGTTGATAGAGCTCATCTACTCTATGCCATTGGGAAAGGGATAATTATAGATCTCCCTTGTCTAATATTTAATGAAATTGTTTCAGCGTTTGATGTTGAAGGTAAGCAAAAAAGTCTCCCATTCCCCATCTTAATTTCAAAGATCATGATGCATTATGGAGCTGTCATTCACCCATCCGACACTTATAAGTCCCCTTTGAGTCCATTTGGTGAATGCACATTAAAAAAGAGTTTGGGGCAAACTGATGCATATGATCTAGATGATTATGATATTGGGGCAAGTACTTCAGGGGATATTGTACAAATGCTTAAACAAATTTTGGCAAACCAAGAGGAGTTGCAGCAAGAAATGAAGGAGTCTCTCAAACAGCTCCGTGTTGACACCAATGAGTCTCTCAGGCAGCTCCGGGAAGACACCAAAGAGTCTCTGAAACAGTTGAAGAAGAAATTTTTAACTCAAAACAAAAATGAGTAGTACTCTTTTTTAGTGGTTGGATTGTAGATAACATTTTAGTTGTTCAATTGTAAATTTTACTATGTAATTTTGTTGATGGTATGTAAATTGAAAGTGGATGTTATGGTATTTTGTTGATGGTATGTAAATGTAAACTGGATGTCATGGTGTTTTTTTGATGCTATGTAATTTCAAAGTGGATGTCATGATGTTTGGCGATGCTATGTTTGTAATATAATCCTAGGAATACACAATACAGTTGGTTTCTTGATGCATGTTGATGCACACAATATGTTGAGTAGGAAACATACTTTTGCCATTCAAAAAGGAGTCCAATTGTCTTCATCTTCATATGTTGGCAAGGGTTGTTGTGATCCACCAGGATGTGAGAATGGCATCTCAAGCACCGGTTCTTGTGATGCATGAGGAAAATAATGGAGATTGTGTGGTTACTCCGATTCATCCAGATGTGAAAATGGCATATTCTCATGTGGATCATTCAAATAGGGAGTAACTAGTGGACATTTTCTAACAGTATGTCTGATACCCCTACATTTACTGCACCTTTGTGGGGTAATTGAAATGTTCTATGGCACCCGTCTTGGATTTCCCTTAGTCTTCACAAATTTTGGGTCACCCACGCCAAATTTTCCATTTTTCACATTCATGTTGAAATGGGATATTTGAGACTCATCATAACCTCTAGCTGCTGACACGTGATGGGCTTGTAGAGCAGACGTTTGCTGATGCATCATATTTCTCACGTCGTTTGTTTTTGAAATTAACTGTGAAGCATAGTAGCACATTCTGCTGCACATAGACATGAGTCCAACATATCTTCTAGAAACTGATGGGAAACTCAATGTATGCAACACATCATTTGTTTGATAATCGAATTTCGCAATAATTATCCACCTTTCATCACAATGCTTGGGGGAAACTCTTTGAGGTGCTCACACTTCATGATGGCAATCGTATGAGAGCAGGGAATCCCAATAGATTCAAATTTCATGCAATTACATTTAAACGTATGAATGCCAGGATACTATTGAACAATCCACCTAGATTCAGGCTGTGAAAACCGAGACAAGTAGTAACTCCGATGTGTTATGCTCTCAATTTTATCCACTACAAAAAATAGAGCTTCATCTTTCAATTGATCACGAACTTTGAAGAACATTTTTATGGTATATATCTTGGAAGCTTTCTCCTCTAAGAATTTAAGTGTTGTTGTGAGCACTGGCTCGGAGTGTTCTGACTCGTAGTCCTCATTGGCCTCGACCTCTCTGATTCTTGCCAAGCCCCTATCATACTACCTAACAAACTCAAATAGTGTGAAACCCGGGAAAAATTTTAACTTTTTCTGAAAAAAGGGCAAAATGGTAATTTGTCATTATAGCGCGGGTTGAAAACTGATATTTTTCTAGACCTCGGATGATGAAACGGACCTCACCGTTGAATTCGTCTCATGAAATCTAGTTACCCAGATAAATTTCGTCGAATTTTGAGATAGTCGAGTTTTTCACTTTTTTCGAGGTGATGAGTATCCGGTGACCCCAAAAACGAAATTTTTATAAAAATTTTAAAATTTGAAAAATATTTTAAATAAAGTTCATATAAAATATTTTTAGCTTAAACCGGTACGAAATTTAATCGTTTCGAGCGAAAATGGACCCGGACAAAGGACACTTGGTGCGACGAGGGCCAAGTCTTTAAAAAGTATAAATATGGGCAAATCAGATATTTTGTAGAAAGATCTCTACATTTCAGCTGGTTCCAATGTGTGAGAGCAAGAGGGAGAGAAAAGGGAGAAAATAAATCTTCCTTCACTGATTCTCGGAGTTCCGTCGCTCGGATCAACTCGGACCAAGAGCCAAAGTTCATCTCCGCGACGAGGGCTACCGTGTGGGTATCAAAAACAAAGATTTTCACCGAAGATCCAAAGGGAGGATTTTGGAGAAATCTAAGCTTTGGGCTTGAATCTTGTTCTTGAGGCTTCCTACGAATCTTTTACGCTTCAAGAGGTAGGGTTCCTCCTACTCGGACTTATTTCTAACCTAAGGTGTCCATAGGGTTCATGTGGGCTGTTTTGGGTATTTCTAACATTTTTCCATTATAGTTGGTGTTAGGGAAATGGGTAGGATCAATTCTAGTGTGAATTGGTAGTTAGAAAGTGCTAGTTTGTGATTTATAAAATGTTTCGATAATTGGTTATGTAAAAATAATATATTCTGATTTTTATTTTGTTTGAAATGGTCCATATAAAATCTTGGCTTGATTTTGGTATATAGAAGTATTTATGTAATCCTTGAAAATTGGGATCATGTGGGCATGCTTTGTGTTTTATATTATGCCTTGTGAATGAAATGTGATATTATCATGTATTATGTGTTATCATGTTGATGAAGTGTTGATATATGCTCTTGGATATATTGAACTTGAAATGATTATGGTGATTATATGCAAATGATATTAATTGTCATGGTATACATTGATATGTAAAAATTGTCATTTGGAATGCATTGCAATATGAACATGGAATTAACATCACATTCATGGGCTACATGCATGAGTGTGGGTGTAGGGTTGCATGGGGTGATCAACACCAACATTGGTGCTTGATAGTGGGCTCGGGAAAGTGGGATGGAACATCCAACGAAGTCGCACGGTTACATGCATAAGAAAACTTGTGCCGGGTATAACAAGTAGGGGTAGACACTCCCTCGGATGAAAAACCCGGCTACTTGGTTCATACACTTACCGGCAGTGAAATTCCAGAAAAGTGTAACGGCGTACGGAGCCGAAGGTGCGATTCCTGAATCCGATACCCCATAAAGGCACATGATTTTGATATATAAATTATTCATTTGATGGAAAACATCCAAGAATGAATTAGTTTTATGACATATGGTTGATTTCAAAATGATCTTTGGATGTGTTTCATCAAAGACGTTTGTTTTACACATATGAGTCGCATTGTGTTGTGGGAGTCGGTGTGGGCTCGGAATAGCATGCATGAGTGAGTTTCATCTCATTACTTGGCATGACATCATGAGATTCTATATTGAATAACATATTCTTATTTGGAAGAAGTTGTTTGTGGTATGTGCGCATTGTATACGCATTTTAGGTGGGGAGTAGCCTCTGTAGGATTTTTTCTACTGAGCGTTAGCTCACCCTATATGGGAAATATTTCAGGTGGGAGAGGTACACCGGTGGATGGCTCAAATTTGGACCCATATGTTTGAAGAAAGCCGAATGTGGCTTTATTTTGTTTTGATGTAAAATATTTGTGAAAATAATGTTTTAAGTATGTCATCTTTTAAATTGTAATAGAACTTATATGGACTATTGTTAAACTAACCTTGCATGTTTTGATATAAATATGGATGATTGGACCCGGTGTGGCCAATGTTTAATTATAATTGGACCCGGTGTGGTCAAGTTTTACTTATAAATGGACCCTGTGTGGTCATTGCGTTATATGGGGCCTCGGACGGGTCATGTTAATGTATATTGCACAGGTTGTGTTTTGGGTAGAGCTCCCCGTACAAAGGAGACTCTGCCCGAATTTTGTTAAATTAAGGACCTCGGTAAATGGGGCATAACAGTGTGATATCGAGCTACTCGGTATCCACGGGTATTCCACGGGTTGATGGATAATCAATGGACCCCCGGATTTTGGGGTGTCACAAACAGTCTTTAAAATATTTTTAAGAAATGATTTAGGTATGCATTCAAACTTTCAAACCGTTGCATACTTGTTCGTCCTGCAAAAAATATCCCCCGTAAGTATGCTTCGGCCCATTTGAATCTCTTTACATAAACTTCAGCAATCCAATTATTAGTCTCCAGACCAAATGATTCAACCATTGATTTCCATAAATCTTCAAATCTTCAGGTGTACATCGAGTGCACATACATCTCTTGAATGCTTGGACAAAATTTTCAGAATTTATATTTGTGAAAGCATTTCGGGCCAAATGCCACCTACATAAGCGGTGTGTTACTTGTGGAAATATTATTTCTATTACAGCAGCCATTGCTTTATCCCCATCTGTAATAACAGAGATCGGCATCTTATTATCCATTGCATGAAGAAAAGTAGATAGCACCCACACATATGTTTCCACAGTCTCATTTGAAAGCAATGCACAACCAAATGTACTTGTAGCATTGTGGTGATTGACACATGCAAATATCACAAATGGCTTCTTATAAACATTCGTTCGATATATAGTATCAAACGTTAGCACGTCACCAAAACACTTGTAGTCTATTCGGGAAGTCGAATCCGCCCAAAACAAACAATGTAGCAAATTGTCTTCAGTGACATTATACTTGAAATAGAATAACGAGTCCAACTCTTCCTTGTAGCTCAAGTATGCCAATGCGCTCTCGGCATCACCATCCCTCATTTCTTCTCGATGTTGGGATGCTACATCATTGTACAAATCCTTTGTGGTAAATCCAATATTTTGATATCCTCCTGATTGTTGCAACATGAAATCTCTAATCTGACTTGTTCATATACCAACATTATGCAATGATGTAGCATGTGCTCTATCAGGACTCTAAACACCCCTATGTGATCGGAGAAATGGCACGCCACATGGTGGAACCAATGGATGGTTATGCTCTTTAACAAAATCCTTTACAACTCATTTTCCTATCTTCTTATCATACTTCACATGCAAAGTTGAAAGGCATCCAACCCTTGTTAAACCTCGTGGTTCCCTTACTTGTTCGTCGTGGTCCGCATTCTGTGTGGACCGATACCCTTCTCTTGAACAAACCCACCTTCTTGAAATTTCCATGTGGTTCTTGTCATGTTTGGGGTCATCTTTTCGAATGCTAAACCCCGCATATCTTCCATATGTATTATAAAATTCTCCAGCCTCCTCGTGTGAATCAAACGTCATTTTAAAAACTTCTTCAGATTTTAACTCATCCATCATTTTTTGCTGCATGTTCTCATTTTCATAATTTTCAACATTATGTAACATGTCCTCCGTTACATC